AACTTCATATCTAATCTATCATAAAATCCTTGCTCAGGGAAACCCATAGGACTTGTGCTGCTATAACCCATGACTTCTACTGCTATGGTAAACAGCATCCCTAGACTTCATCACTGACATATGAAAATCTGGGGGACAAACATATTTCTTGAGGCAGAATTGGTGTACAGTTCAAGGATTCTATAGGATTTGTGGCTCCTGCTCAAAGAGAAGATGGTATCTGTGATCGGGAAGGTTTGCAAAATTTGTTTATTCAGTTTGTATAGTGTGCTAGCCAATTTGTATAGTTACATCTTGTGTGCCAATTATATTTATTCCTTAATTGTAATGTGCAGCTTCATGGTCACCTGTGCTGATCACTTGATTAAATTGTTGTAACATGCATGACATGTGACTGTCCTTGATGAGTGTTTGGAAGTGTAAACTGGTATAAAACAGTGGTGTTTTGCGATTTGATATACTACAATATGCCATTATTGCTATATGAGTAGACCTGGTTTAAAAGGAGTTCTGGATTCATTTCAAGATCTTAGTTGCCCTCTAAAACCCTTTGTGGACTGCTTATCCCTAGTGGTTTCAGTACATCCTTCTAGATCTGACAGAGTGGGTGTGCTTTAGTTCCCATTTGTGAAGCAGCAGCATCTTGTGGGTCCCAAGAAGCATTTCTTTTCTATCATGGCTTTTGTTTTGTGGAATAGTATCCCTTTCAAGATATAGCTGACCCCGATACTATTATGCAGAAGGCTGTTAAGATTTGCTTCCCAATCACTTGGGCTGGGTTGTTGATGGAGGTCTAGCATGGCTGTGGTTTTGCCAATATGTTGACAATTTCCTTAACCCAGTTTCTGAGCCACCTGGCTCTTAGTGGTGTTATTGCTTGTGTTTTAATCTATTTTAATCTATTTATTATTAAATTTATCTTGGCATGGGGTTACTCTGGCAGATTACAATAGTACAATTGTAGAATTTAAATTGATAAAAAGTGTAAATATAAAACAATAAAAGAGCAAAAATAAATAATGAAAGCACTGCAATACGAATTAAAAGATGGCCAGGAAGGTAGCAGCATGCGCAGGGCAGATGGGATCAGCTATTAGCATAATAACAATCTACAGTGGTTTTGGGATTAATGTCCTATAGTCGTAAATCTGTGTCAGTTGCCAAACTCCCAAAATTAAGTAATGTGACTTGGGGATGACATTTTGCTTCCTGTTGAAAACAGATTCTATTGCCTGCCCACTTCCGGATGGTAAAAAATTAACCATTGTGATAGTTATGTATCTAGTGATAAGTCTTTAACATTCAATATTTCTTTTAGAAACTTAGTGTTGGAAAGAACCTTAAAGTTCTCCAGTGTGGTTGCGGGAAGGTCCAACAATGGGATTATCATGTCCTTATCTGCCCAGAGACTGTCATTTAATTGTAGCCACGCCTCCTTGACTCTCCTTGGCCCCAGTTTCAACTCAGTCCAGCCCAAGGTAGAACATAATTTCTTGGCTCTTTCTCTCTCACATCACTGTCCACAGACAGGTGGCAGTGCTGTCTACCATGTTAGCAGGTGAGGGATGAGAGCATCTGGCCGGCCAATCTTAGACCAGTAATTCATAGATTCCCCCCCCCCCCCGGAGACTTGACCACGGTTCTACAGGCTCTCTCACAAAGGAGCCCTTCAAACCTTTGAAGACAGTTAGCCTTCAGTTTTTGACTCTTAAGGTAGTGTTTTTGGTAGCTATGACATCAGCTAGACTCATTTCAGAGCTGGGCGCTCTTTGGTCAGGGTGGACCTTTGCATATTCCACCCAGATACAGTGGTACTCTGCCTAGACCCCACCTTTATACCAAAGGTCAATTCTCTATTCCATAAAGCTCAGGAGATCATCCTTTCTGACTTCTGCCCGGGACCTTCACATGATAGGGAACGGATGTGGCATAGATTAGATATTAGGAGGGCACTCCGTATCTATATAAAACAGACTGCCTCTCTCAGGAGAACGGAGACTCCTTTTGTATCCTTCCAAGATTCAACCCTAGGATCCAGGGTTACCCCTTCAGCCATAGGTGAGGGCATCTATAGCACAAGGATTTACCAGTGCCAAGTGGGAGTACAACCCACTCAACCAGAAGCGCCGTGGCTTCAGCGCCGTGGGTTACCCAGGGTCCTATTGAGGAGATCTGCAGGGCAGCTGCCTGGGCTTCACCATCGCCCTTCATATGGCACTATAGGCTCGATGTCTTTGCATTGATGGAGGCTTCCTTCGGATGAAGGGTTCTTCAAACAGTGCACACTTCATCGGGAACTCCGGACCAGTCAGTTCCCCACCCTTAGGACAGCCACTTTGGTATGTCCCATTGTTGGATCCTCCCGCAACTACACTGGAGAAGGAACGTTGGTCCTACCTGACACGTTGCTTCTCAGTGGGTTGCGGGAGGATCCAAACCCACCCTGTAATAGGTCCGTAATTCTGGGACCCTACACAGGGTTTTGTTCCACTATATCATTTGTACCCAGCTGCATCCTCGTTGAAACTGAAGCCAAGGAGAGAGTGGCTACAGTCTCTGGGCAGATAAAGGACATGATAATCCCATTGTTGGATCCTCCCGCAACCCACCGAGAAGCAACATGTCAGATAGTACCAACATTCCACTTATTTTGCTGTAGTTTTTCTCCTTCCTCTGTGGCTATAAAGCAAAGAAGACAGGACCCTGAGGGAAGGAGGAAGAGCCTGTGCCAAGATAACAATCAGATAAAAGTAGCAAAGGGCCTGAGTATGGGCAAGAGTGAGTAAACTTCCCAGACAACTCTCCTGCAGTTCCCACAAAAATAAAGGGGAGATTATTAGCTTGGTGTTCCTTGAAGAACTGATAGTGGCTGGTTTCATTTGGTGTGGATTGGCAGAGAGACATTCACACTTGGTTGTCATTCCCTTTTTGTTTAACATGAAACTGCTGGGTGGGGTTAATTATTGATTTCGGACCATTTAACATCAATATGCTGATGGTACCTCATGCATATAGACCCTGAGTTGATCAAACAGTGCTGTCAAAATCTGGAGGTTGTGCTGGTCTGAATTGAGAGGAACAGAAATAGGTTCAATGTTGACAAGACTGAATGCCTGTGTTTATTAGGGCCATCCTGTTCTGGGGATATTCCATCATTGTTGTTTAATGGGTCATGCTTCCCCATTTGGGACTTCTATGTAATCTTGGGGACCTCTTGGACTCACAGCTCCTGCTCAAAAAGTAAGTGGCAACCATGGTTAAGAGAAAACCAAAATTTGTACAAGTTCATCTAGTACCCCAATTGCTCCTGATTCCAAAGGTCTTTCACACAGGCACTTCCAGATCACCTTTTTATTGAATTACTGTACAGGCAGTATTTAGATGTTTAGGACCATAATCGACCCTGAAATTTCCTTTGCTAAGCAAGGCAGTTGTTAAGTGAGTTTTGCCCCATTTTACAGCCTGCTTTTTCACAATTGCTAGATAAATTGCTGCAGTTGTTAAATTAGTAACATGGCTGTTAAGTGAATCTGGCTTCCCCATTGACTTTGCTTGTCAGAAGGTCACAAAAAGTGATTATATGATCCTAGGCCACTGCAACCGTCATAAATATGAGCCAGTTGCCAAGCATCTGAATTTTGATCACATGACCAAGGGGGTGATGCAATAGTTGTAAGTGTGAAAAACAATTAAAAATCACTTTCTGGTCCCATTGATTAACAATATCATTTTTTGAGAATCTTTATCTGTTATGGCTCTTGCCCTCCCTGATCCCTACCACCCATATAGGTTTGGGGTTTTTTTTGTTTTGTTTTTTTAAAGATCTTTTCATTGACTAATATTTTTATGTATATTCCTTTTTTTTACAGGATTAACCTTAACTTACGATCATAATTGAGGCCAAAATTATGGTTGTAAGACATGCTGATGATTTGAAGGTCACCATGTGACTGCAACTGATTTTACAACCAGCTTTGCAGTGGTTGCTGTGGGTGGGGTTTTTTTGTTTTTGTTTTTTGTCAAAACCCGGAA